GTTCACTGCTGATGAAGGAAGGAGAAGTGAGTCTTGAGACAAGACTTTAAATGTCCATCTGGAGATCAGGACCTGTCCTACCTCAGTTCTAAATAAACATAGTAAAACATGGACACCTCAAGGTTGGGCATTATTGAACACGCCATGTAGTTGCTACAGTATTTAATACTATCTAAACGAAAAAGCAGCACAAGGAAGTCTCAAAACTGAAGCATCTCGGTACATTTTGGAATGCATTCCATAGTGCTGTGTGGATAGACAAGTTTTATTTTTTTCCCTAAGTGTTCTGTTTTACACCACCGTGTATGCAGCAGCTTTTAGGTCATATTTTATGGTATTTAAAAGTTCACTTTTTTAAATATCACAAAGTTTCAAACATCCCATTGGAGTATGAGAAATAGGAGTAATTACATAAACTGCTGTCACCTTCTAGAAAATAACATTTCTCAAATATCACAGAAAATACAAATAGATTTCTTTTGAAACAGTTAACATACAGAGAACATGCCAGCAATACTTGGATTTCACTTTTTCTAGTATTAGACCAAAATCAACATTATTTTACCATGACCAGAGAATTTTACTCACATGCAATACACCGTCAACCTACAATCAGCTTCAGGTCTGCCCTACTTCTCCTGAGCGAGGTGTTTGCTTGCTGCACAATGAAAATATCTTGTTACTCTGTGTATACCACTGGATAAGGATTGACTGCCTCTGGGCTGAACTCACATGTCACATTCAGGAAACCAGTTAGAGATGATTTCAGTTTTGTAACGTGGCGTGCTATCCTGCTCCAGTAACTAATGAAGGAAAGGAGCACTTTGGTTGCAAATGGACATGTGCAGCTCCTAACCTGTAGCAGGTTTAGTTTAGTTAACTGCAGCAAGTTTAACCAGCTCGCCAAGTTATTCAACTGTCAAAAGGATGGAGAATGTTTATGTTAACTAACATGGGTAAGTATGTTAGATAATTAGACCCAGCCTAATTATCCAAGTGGACTTACATTTAAATGTATTGGACCAGTTCATTGTGGTTTAGTGTGAACTTGTATGCGTATATTGAGGGACAGACCTGAGGTGTAAATATCATTATCACAATTATCTGTTCTTATTGTGTGTTATTGCCAATATTGTTCCCTATATTACTGTTATGTGTTCTTCTGTTTACTCCATTTTTCTGGGTGCCTTGAACACACCGAGGTATCAAGCTTTTTCAAAAACAAAGGTTGTTCTTCCTCTGTGGCCTAAATGGCCCAGTAGTTGAGCACTTCTCACCTCTCCATTATTTATGCTTTTTATCTTCAGGATGAATTGAGGTTCTAAAGCATCTTCTATTGAACCCAGATTTCCAACCTTAAAACTGGGTGCACAGGAAAACCTGAGTAATTCAGCAGATTGTTAAGCGCTAAAACCAACTCATCCAGAACCACCATGCACCAAGACTCACAAAGTAACTTCATGAACTAGACTACAGTTTACGACACATAATAAAGTATTTATTTTGCTAAGAAGAAACAGAGATTACTGTGATTTCCTGTAGGACAAAAATACCTAAGATCACATCATAAGACACAAGTGTGTTTTACCACATGTCTCATGTGACTTCTGTCAACTTTGTGACCATTATGAGAAGACTGTCAGTGGAATTTTTGCTGGAGAAAAAAACGAGGAGCTCAGCTTCGCTGTTGCATCGGCAAGCAGAATGTCAAGTTACAGTGTGAAAAATAATACTGCATAACAACTTAAACTGATTACTGTGACAAAAGCTGACCTCTCTGCTCACCCCTCCCAGTTTAATGAACACATGTAGAAGATACTTCTGTTCACTTGCCTACGAATTCATGGAAAACATTTTCATTTATTTTAAGCATTGCATGGAAAAATACAGCTTTTCTAATGCAATGCTTTTAACTAAGGCTTTTAAACTGAAGTATAATGGGGTTATTCTATGACTTTGTGGGTGATTTTTTTATAAGACAACTTGGTCATTGGTAATGTGGGCTCATTTCATACCTTCCCCTTGTATGTCTCCATCACTCGATGACATCATGACAGGTCAGGAGGATGTGTTGATGGCTGGCTGTTGACTCTGTCTGTGCCCTTCAGATCTTAGTGATTATTGATCAGAGTCCAGCATTGGAAGAGTTCTACAGAGAAAAAAACAGATGTGACACTAAAAATTAAAAGAAGATAAAGGGTTGGATCTCTGTTGATATATTTCACTTTTTGTTGTGCCTTAACTAGGGGTTTTGAACATCTTTTCCCCCTGCACTATCAAAGTGAAAACAGAGAGCGATAACTCCACAGCAGGTAAAGATGTTCATGATTATTTGAAAACATCACAAATTCCCACAGCAGAGACAGGTTTCCCTGTTTGTCAACGTTTCTTAAACATCCCAGCACATCATCGATGACCCCTCACCCAGCCCACATTGATGCACCTGTGTCCTTGCACACATATCTGAATTGAAAAGCAAAACTGTGACTAAATCTGTTATGGAGCAGGAGCAAATGGCCTAAACAGGGACATTAATGTAAGGGGTGCATTAAGAGGTGACTCAACAAAGATAAAATACCGCTGTACTTGTATGTGTGTACTCTTCCAGCTTTTCACACGTGAAAACCCTTGTGAGGTCCTGAAGTCATTAAAAATTCATCACATAAGCGTGAAATGTAATTAATGCATCAACACAAAATAAATAAATATTATACACAGGGTTGAAAAACTTTATAACATACAAACTTTGTAAATACCAGATTTGAATTCATTTACTCATCATGCAAGAGCAGTTTAACAGATCACCCCTCAGCTAAAGCCAAACTAATGACTATGAAACTTGCACACTTCACACATGTAAAGACAGGTCACAAAACAGACACACAAAATATAAAGCAAGTAAATGTAGGATCTAAAGCTGTTCTTGTTTCTTAGAACTGGATTTTTTTTGTCATAAGTAATCCAACTAAAAATGCAATTACTTACAGTTCCTCTTCAGGAACACATAGACATGACCTTGCAGTTAACCTCATAGTTTCTCTGTGTGACGGGCCACAGTGTCTCCATTATAAGCACATCAGCAGTTTCCACAACATGTGGTGACATTAGAGAAGTAGGTGACATGTCAATGCATGGGACATGGTGAGGTTTTTTCCTATTATAGGCAGATTTTCAAACATAAAAAAAAGGAACTAATTACTATTAAAAAGGAAATAATTGCGACAAAAATCTCAATTCATTAGGACTATTTTTCCTTGTGATCTAACAGTCAAACTAAGACAGTAAGACTATGAATCCATTTTCAAACTGGCTGGTATACTTTAAATTTGCAATAATTGCACCTCTTTTGTCATTTGAAGATGTTGTTTTTAATATTTATGCAATTGCACATTTTATTAGCTGGGGTCTGCAGCATGTTTGCCCTGCATATTTTAGTTTAGTAATGTACCAACTGTGATTATGTACTATTTATTCTATTAGACTGATTCAGAGTTTGCACTGCTCTAGCACAGAAGCACACACCGGGCTGTGGCTGTGAACATTTGTATACATTTCCACGCTGTCTAATTTTAAAATTCAGTATTTTGTTGTTTGTTCATTTATAGTGTATACCAGCTTTATACAAATAATACAAGTTTTGTATTTTGTGCAAGTTAGTTGCTGAAAGGATTGTGACTGTATCTACTCTACTGTAACTAACTAAGAGAGGTTTTTACGAATAACAAAAACATATCAAATCCTTCTTTTGGTTAGAGTGTGGCCAAACTTAGCTGACTTTAAACCTCTTTATTTCGTACATGTGATGTGGTTCAAGCCAGGAAAAATACTCACTCACACTCACACACTGTAACATACAATACATATACAAAGAACGGCTTTATCATCCTGCTGATAACCCCATCGTATCAAGCCAATATTTCAGCAGTGGAATATGTAATCTGTCAGAGTAGACGGAGCAGATCCTGGACTAACAACACCAATGGAATCTGATTGTACTGTGCTAATAATAAAGCTTCGTGATTGGAGCCCTGAAATCACACTACTATCACAACTAAACACACAAATACTTAAGAATTTGAATTCAATGTGGACATTAAGGCAGGAAGTAGTTTAGAAATTACATAAAATACAAACACTGCGTACAACCTGTAACCCATTAATTATGCTAAATTGTTAAGCTAACAGCAGATAGCAGCTGAAGTTAGCATTTAATCACGTCAAGATCACGTCAATCTCCCCCGCCACGTCCACCAAATCTTACCTTTGCTCGGAACAGCCTCTCTTCTTCTGCTGCTCCTGGGGTTTTTGTAAAGCTGAGGCTACAACCGTAACCGCGGGGTTGCCGTGTTCATACCGTCATCATACCCGGACCCTGTAAACAAACAGTGGTAGCAAAATCAGGAGCAGGGCGGGGGTGACAGAGCAGCAGACGAAACCACTGGTAGTTGCGTTCGGCTTTAACTCGGCTTCTAGTCGGATTTCTTTCGGCTGCTGCTCGGCTGCCACTCGGCTACTGCACTGTCCTCAGATGCTGACCACTCGCCGCATGGTCACGTGACCCGCCCGCTGATTTCCGTACCGTGTAAAAGATTGTAAATTACAGATAACATAATAATAACAATCCTCGTTTTTGTTATTTCATAATAAATAGTTCATTCTGAAACAAAAAATACAAAATACATTATTCGCTGGAAAACTAGGACACTACGATCATTACACAGAAAACAAGAGCTTTTAATTACCATTTTAAAGCAAGGCATTTTTTGTAAGTAATGTTAATTTCATAATGTTAACATATAAAAATGATAGTTTTTATTAATAAAATATAGAAAAGAAGGACGCCGTGATGTTCTCTCAACGTACAAAATACATTAAAAAAAACCAAAACACAATCTTTATTTGTAAGTTTGAACTTTTAACAAATACAGTATCATTATTTACAGCATAAATGCTTTGTGATTTATATGTTACTGTCGCTTAAGGTCATTGCTTTAAAAACTACCATTCACCACCGGAAATGGAGGCTCCAAAAATCGTCAGCTTGACGTCAGCCGGGAAGTATATGCTAGTTTTTCCACGGATGCCTTGACATAGAGGCAAAAGCCCAAAGAAAACTTATCTTGCAAAAGATTACGACATATCTTCTCCATCATGACTGTAAGTTATTTTGTCTCTTTTATATGCATGTTGTAAACTTTAACATTAATCAAAACAGTATTGTTTGTACAACTACGTAGCACCAATGCTAACAGACTTTCCGTACAATAAAGCACAGCAGAACCATTTAAATTGCAACTGTAATATCAGAGGTTCTGCGTAAAATTTATTTTCGAATTTATGAATGCAATGCTGCTATAATCAAGGCTGAAGAACCATAACTTTAAATTAGCCCAAAAAAACCTAAAACATAATGTGTCTGAAACAGAAGCACGAGTTTGAGGTGGCGATGACGTGTGAGGGCTGTTCTGGGGCTGTTACCAGGATTCTCAACAAACTTGGAGGTGAGATATGTAGGGTCAAAACCAACAAAAATAAAAAATAAAAAAAACGTTTTGCCTTAGGTTATTTTATATTGAGTGAATCAGTGCCATATTTGTCAAATGTAATTGGACAGTGACTCTGTTTTCTCAGATGTCAAGTTTGAGATCGACTTGCCAAAAAAACTGGTATGGATCGAGTCGGACAGAGATGTGGATTTTCTTATGGAAACACTAAAGAAATGTGGGAAGGAGGTCAAATACAATGGCACTAAATAAGAGTTTGGATCTGCTCATGGGGATCGGGTGGTAAGTGAAGGGCCAAAGAGAGAAAGAAAATCCTTTAATCACATGTACATTAATTATTTTAAGGCCCCATCACATATAGCTAACATTCATGAACGGTTTGGTTTAATAATGTCACCATTACTTGACTGGCATTGTCTGTTGTGGTTTAACCATAGGCTTCGCAACAGATGTTTGATCATGTGTATGTGTGTGTCCTTAGGGGGATTGCTACTAATGTAAAGTGAAGACTTCTATGCTGAAACCTAAGTTGATTTTCTACTGAGAAGAAACAGACGAATCACATTCAGTCATAAGGTGTTCACAACAGATGGCCTGGATGCATATCGTCTTCGGCAACAAAAAAAATAAAACCTAGTTTATTTTTTGTGTGATCATTTCCAGTTTTCCATAATGGATGATCATGTAAACCTTTACCATTAGGATCTTATTTAGAGGAAAAAGCATGACATGTCTCCAAGACTCAAATAAAAGATTGTTTAGCAACTGGAAAAGGAAGTCCACTTTTCATCTATACCTCTAAGATGTGCATTGTTTTCATATATGTACATGTGTTAACATGTTTTGTAATGGTTTTACATTAAAATGTCCCTTGTGTTAAATATTTGACTGCCAGGACATTGTTGTTCTCATCATGCATTGCATTAAAATTGTTTAATGAAACCAAGTGTCAGTGAACTTCCTTCTAAAAGACCCCTTGTAATTTTTTTTTTTGTCCAACCTTAGCTGTTTTGTTTGTACATTTATAGCCAAACATTTCCCGTATTTCCCACTACTTGCATAAGTAAGAATGTAACTTGTCACTGGATTCATTATTAAACCAGTGATGTATTCACTGTTCTGGAAAAAAGCTCACCTATGTCCTTGTTGAGGTAACTCTGATGCATTGTACATGCCAACCTTTTGATGGCGGTGTTGCACAGTATTTGAAAGCTACGTGTTTGACGATAGCATTTACAAGAAAATTATGAAATAGTAAAACTTAAAATGCTCGAGTTTCTTGTGTAAAATTACATGGTATGTAGGAACGACACAGACAGCCTTTAATAACGTTTTAATCCAGTATTTCTGACGCGTAGAGCAGTTCAAGGTCTAATCTTAAACCAAACTGATGTGGCAGCGACTAACACAGACAGCCTCCTGGAACACAGGTAATATAAAAAGATGACCCTGATTTAAGAGTTGAAAACAAAGTAAACTCTGTTTTGGATGTTATCAAAAGATAAACATCAAAACAATTCTCTAGCTTTCAACAATTGGTATAAACAGATAACAGCAACATTGCTGAAAATGGAAGATTAAAAACAAAACTTTGTAAGAAAAATCATCAGTGAACATTTAGGGTTGACAGCTAAGAAGCTCAGTAGAAATCCTGATTGAGGCATGGCAATTCTTTTTGGATGGTTTCTTGTATTCTAATCTTCCAGAATTCTGCATGAAAGTGAAAGGTCTGGAACTATAAGTCTGCATAATGACAACATGATCAGTTAAAAAGTAAACATTTACTGTCTACTGTCAGCAACTGATTTCTGGTTGTGCCGGTTCTCTGCAATTCTAAATTACTCTAAAATACTTAAGAATAAAGCATCATAATCAGAGCAGGTGCAAGCAGAGACATCGCTCCAAATACTTGTTAACTGACACTTGTCTGTACCACACACTCACATCTTACCACCACTGAACCATTTAGCCTTCTTTTGAACTACAACTTCTGTTCCTTTAGAAAATAATCAAGTAAAACAGAACAGCACAGAAGGGCAGAACCAAAACCCCCAAAATAAGCATTGAAAACCAAGAATTAACAATTTCCAGAATCACAAATGCAGTAGAAATATTTCAAACATACTCAAGAAACAAAAGATTTTAAGGTCAGATTTTACCACCCTTATTTTTCTCTTTGGACTATTTTCTCCCTGGCACTTTGATCATTGGACTATAAGATATAATAAACCCCTGGGTCAGAATCAGACTGAGAAGATTTAGGAGGATATTATATTTACCAAAACACAATCTTGTTAATCATGGAGTATCATCCTTTCTCGTGCTTATAACAAACAACAGCTCTGATCAGATCTCTTCAGATTTGATTCTTGTGTAATGTAGTTTGGTGAGGTAATAGCAGTAATGTTGTAGCACAATGTGTTTGCACCAGCAAGACTAGAAGATTTTTAAGGAAGATCTGAGAGAAATTCTTCTTTTATTTTTCAAGTCCAGAACTCCAATCAGAGCAAATCAAAACTCACCAAAGAGATACACGCTCATCGTTTGGATCAGTGCAATTAGACAGTGTCAGGTTTGAAAACACTTGAAATGGTCTCATTGTGCAGCAGAGTTTGGATGGTCATGTTCAAGTAAGAGGCAATTGAGCAAATTGTCTGAAGTTAGTTTGCCTAGTTAGTTTACCCAAGTGTGAACACAAACTAAGATGTGGCTCTTTGTCGGTGTAAACATTACAGTAGCCGTGATTTTCACACAGAAGTTCAGAACCTAGTGTGCAAGGTGCTGGAGCCCCCTGCAAAACCTCAGCCAAGTGTGTTGAGCCTTTGGGATAGTAGTCACATCTCCATAGACAATCAAGGTGTGATCAGTGACATGATATAGACTTCTGAAGACCCAAAGATATGAGAGCATGACCTCGACCCTGCATGAATTAGTAAAAAGATTTTCAAATCACTACATTATTCATAACCTTGCCCACAAATCATTGAAAGGAAATTAAAAAAAAAATGACACACACATTTATCAGGGCCACTTAGTTCCACATCATCCTACCCACATCAAAAATATTCACCCACCACACAGTGCTTTAAAAGTTATAAACATTTTATACAATCTTTAGAAAAAAATTCACATTGAATGTGCTCGATCTGTTGTCTGGATACAGTTCAATCCACAGCAAACTCATCTTCTTTGTCTTCCTCATCTCACTCGCGCCTCAATAAAACCTCTTGTTCCTTTCCTGTCTTTTGTGGAAAACTACAGCTCCCACTACGCCACACACCACAATTCCTAGCAGAGCACACAGCAGAAGCAGGAAGACCTTCCATCCGGTCAGCGGCGTGCCGCGGAAGTTTCCAGTGGGGTCGTCAATGTTGTCTGTAGAGAAGAGAGTTTAGCTCAGAACCTGTGCTCACCTCATGAAGTGGTAGAACATCATGTGCATAAATTAAGTTTCAATAAAGTTGGAAAAAAACTTCAAGGAGTATTGAATGAAAAGTCACATAGTGTATAAGTATGTGACTAAATACAGTAGTACCTTTAGGGGACTTTAGGAGGCTAACACTGGGCTCGATCTTTGACCAATCCTGGTTCTCCTCCTCAGGAGTGTGTTCTACCATCAGCTGGTAGAGCTTCATGGAGATGATGTCATGGTTATCTGAAAGCATAGCATATAAATAGGAATGTTATGACTATTTATCATTTATATTTTTGACACCATTACTGTAGTACAGCTTCAACAATGTCAGGTCTACCAGACAAATCTCCTGTGGCTGCTGAGGCACCAAAGTAATATCCAGTAGGAAGACGAACACCCCCTATGTCAATGCACTCTCGCCACTCGTTCTTGTCATCCACATCAACCATCACCTACATAAGTGTCAACAAGATACAAAAGATGAATTATTTCTTCAATCTGTAATCTGACAGTGTTAACCATATCACTAATTTGGATTTTAAAACATGTACTTCCTACAAGACTGTAATTATTCCTTAATGACAGTATACTGTCATTCTGATTTATATACTACATATCAGACTGCAAATAACTATGCACAATTCAAGTGAAATATGTGCAGTATCTTAGAAAGCAAAAATCAAGCTTCTCCACGTACAGTGAGTCTTCCTCTAGAGTAGCGGATGGCCAGGTACGTGTCATGCTCCCTGTTCCTGATCTCAGCTGAGCAGCCTCCCAGCTCCGATGAACGTCCGTCTTTGCCGTGGTCGTAGCTCACCGAACCGTTGTTCACCATGGCAGAAATGTATGGAAAGGAGCGCTGGTGACCAAAATGATTGCACACGTATTAATATTTTTTTATAATAAAGGTAAAATTACAGAAGATGACTGAATGAAAACAGAGGAAAATAAAACAAGTCAATGGTACACATTCTTCATGCTTATAAATAGATCACACTGCAGTTTTTTTCAGGATCATCTATAAACCAAAAAAGGTTTCACTGTTTTTGATGGACAAGTCCAAATGAAATATCATTAAAATTTAGACACATGAAAACAGATTGAATCTAATGAGCTGGCTACAGTGTGAAGATGACAACACAAATAAACAGAGGTTAAATGATTTAAGAAACTATATATAAAAAAAAAACATGTAAAGGCTGCACCTTAGGTCCAAGGTGACACACAGTGTAATATACCACTGTTAGTCAGTTGTACTCAGACACACAGCAGTCCCACCAGAGCTGTGCACACTGATGGAATAAAGAATTAGTCGCTTTGCAAGCAATTAAACCTCTGGAAACAAAATGCCATGAGAAAAGCATTAGTCTTCAATCAATGAACACAGGATTTGCTGCCTTGCTGCCTTTGAGTCACAAAGTTTGTAATGTATAATCTAATGTAGAAATAGCTATGATACATGTAATAAGTTAGAATGAGGTGCTGAGGGTGCACAGCTTTGTCAATGCTATATTTCATTTTTGAGCCACAAAGCCATCATGCTCACAAAGCACCTTAAATAAACAAATATATGAAACTACAGCAAAACAAAGCAAAATACAGTGGTTTACACTGTTGAAATACATGAAGTTCCAATAACATGCCAAAAAAAAAACATCTGCAACAAATTTGTACAGACAACAGGCCAACCAGTTAATCCAGGGCAACCACTCACATCTGATGCCTCATCGTTTGAGTAAGTATCTATAAAAATGGCCAGCCCGTGGAAGAGAGCATTGTTGGAAAAGACGGGTCCTGCAAGGAAACAAGGCGGGGGGAGGAAGGGAGGGAGGTCAATCACCTCTAACCACACACTGCACACTTACATCCATCCCATGGAGGTCATTGCGAAACGTATCCAAAAAAATAGCCAGGCCAAGAAAGTGATCTTGGTTTCCAAACACGGAGCCTAGGATGGAGGCAGAGATGACGTGAGACATGACACAACGTCAGACACCAATCTGTGATCAACACTAATGACATGACATGAATGACTGGACAGGGTGAGGAAAATAAAGCTTTTGACATGGAGTCACAGCAGCTTTTTAGTCACACTCTGGTGTTTAACAGGTTTTCAAGTATTTTCCCTGAAGGACGTGACAAATACAGAGCTGCTGCCTTTGAGTCATGTGACCTTTTATCTTAACATGAACTCTGATTACGTAATGTAAGGCTGCAACAAAGGATTTTTACTAAATAAATCCACTGTTTTCCTGGTACAATTGTCAATTTTAAGTCGCAAGTTATTATTTTGTTTTTGTCAAACAACCTTTACTATCTAAATGAATGAGTCAAAAATCAGACAAACTTGATTCTTACAAACTTTAACAAAACAATTCCCTTTTTTAAAGTTAAATATCAAATAAAGTTGAAGGTATTTTCTATAGTATTTTTCACACCTGTAAAAAATAAAAATATCTCTGAGGTTTACAAAAAACATGAAGATGATCTCCAGGAAGTAGCCTTTAAATCTGCAAAGAGATTCTGCACCTAGGAGATGGAGATCAGGTTTTGTTCTTAGTGGCTGCTATAATGTTTCCTTCAGCTTCAGGCAATGACATTCAAACCTTTAAGACAACGTGTCGCCACAAAGATTGAAATTTAAACCCAGTTCACAATAAACAAACACAAACTAAAGAAACTGTAAAAGTATGTTTGAGTGACAATGATACTGGTTGATACCTATGACTGTGGTGGTAATATTGGTATCTTTTAATGTGCAGACTTTAGACTGCAGAGTACTTTTTTTTTACCATGAACCTGGCTCTACTACTGACTGATTACAATGGCTTACAATGCTTGCACTTCCACTGGGATGAAAGTGCTGAAAAATTGCACAGGGTGGTCCTCAGTTATATGATAAAAGCCAGGTGAAGCTTGTAACACAAACCTTTTGGGCTGAAGGAAAAATGTGCAGCACCTGCCCACCCTGGGAGGCTAGCACAGGGAAACACAGAGTCTCAGACATGACAGCAGAAAAAAATCGTGACACATGATCTGCAGTGCTGCAAAACTCACATGCAACACAATTCTGTGTTGAGTTTCAAAGCCGGAACCAGTCTGTTTCACACATTTGGTGATACATTAAACATCAACTATTCACAGTCATGTTGATTTAAAAAATATATATAAACATTGTGGTAAAATCCTAGGTTTGCCATACCTGAATGCAGTCTGTCCTTCGTGTACCATACAGCGATGCCGTCACCATGAAGATTCTTCTTTCCTGACCCGTGGACTCTGAAGTGCACATGCATCTCCCAGTCCTTTAGGTAACAAGGCTTCAAATAAGAAACAGGAAACATGATTACTCTCAGAAGCAGGTCAATGCAGAGAGACAGGTATGTAGACAGACTACGCACAAAAACTAAATCAGCCCAGGAATTGGCCAGTGTTACCAGCAATGTTATTGAAACAAGACCATCATGAGTAACACGGAAATATTAACAGTCATCATATAGCACAAATAGGCATAAAATTATAATTTAAATTATAATTCTGTTTTTAAATTAATCTAGTGGTTTCACCTAAATATCTAGAATGTACACCACGCTGCATTGAGTCTGAGGTGAATTCTCAAGGTTGTAACTTGTTCTCACCACAGTGTTCCAGATCGATCCCTGCTTGCTCCTCTCATCTGGGGTGAGTCGTACATATGATGATGACACCAACGTACTTCCCCAAAAGTCCCACTGACTGCTGTGGCTGCTGCCAACTCCTTAAATACAATTAGAACCATGGTCAATATAAGGTTTTTGTTTAGGTTATTTTGAGCTAAATTTGCCAATGAGACAACCCGTCTCATGTTGATTGAATAACGTTGTATATTTTGAAACGCTATTTGGCTTTTTAGTCATATAGTTATACTGAATGGCAATTTAAAAAACGGACATCACATCTCGCTGCACTGTAAAAGCATATGCAGGGCATTATATCAAATCAACTGTATTATGTTGTACATTGTTTAAAAGCCAGTCTCACTACAAATGTACCATGTGTAAGGTAGCTATATCAGTTTATGATGTGAAAAATAAAACAGTGAAATTATGTTACAACAACTTTAATTTAAACGTTTTGACTGCAACAGAATATCCGCTGTCGTCGCAAAAGTTTGCAAAGGCAAGAACTGTTTCTATAAGGCCACATACACTTGACGTTAACATGTTAGCCTGCTAGCTCAGGAGCAGCTTACCTTGATACGGTTTCATAAGCGAGTGTTCCCGTTTCAGGTGCTCCGCGTTTCCGTCTGTAATGTCACAGCACACCAACCAAAGCTGGAGCAGCAGCACCGTTACTGCGGTGCAGGTGTGCGCCTTAAAAGTGTTCATTTTTAACTGACAAAAAGAACTCTCGCAACAAATTTCTTCTTCTTGCGCCTTCTTCTTGCGCCTTCTTTTTTCTTCTATTGTCCATAAGCAGATGAACAGGCGCGACATCGCCACCTGCTGCTACGGAATTTGGAAAACACCATAACTGTTCAACGGTTATTAATATTTCGACATAAAAACAGTATTTCGAAAAATAAATATGTGAATGAATCTATCTATCTTTGAAATGGTTTGTTTTACCTGTTTTACTTGTTTTATGTTTCTTTTTTGTGTTTTTGAGAAAGAATAATCAAAAAAATTAAAAGTTTTAAATATTTTTTTTCTATAACCACTATATATACCACTAACCAAAATAGCATTTTTCGACCTTCTGCTCATGTGACAGACGTCTTCCATCGTAAAATGATTTTAATGATTCTTGATAAATACCACACTCTTCAGATTTACTTAATTTATCCAAATTGACCACATGGAACAGCAATAAAACAAACGTGTGTCACTGCAAGTGTATTTTTTGTGAACCTTTGAATACAAAAATGAAAATATTTATGAACAGATTGAAAAAGAAAATAACAAACAAAAACAATACAAACAGCACATTATTATTATTATTATTATTATTATTATTATTATTATTATTATTATTATTATTATTATTATTATTATTATTATTATTATTATTATTATTATTATTATTATTATTATTATTATTATTATTATTATTATTATTATTATTATTATTCACATAGCTCCTTTGTAGAACTGCTGCAGAGTGTTTGGACTACTTGAAGATCGTTTACAACTGATTTATTGTGTACTAAGAGAATTGAAGTGATTATGATGGAATGAAACATTTGTTGTATAATCACCTCCATCTGAAGTCTGGTCTGGGCATCATAAAACCAAACCCTAAAATAAGAAGGAAAGAAACCGATAGTAACCACTGCCGATCCTGGTTAATGGCTTGGCTTATATTGGTTTGAGTGCAACTGATGGGCCAAGAGCTTTAGAGATTGTTTAACTTTTTTACCGCGAGAATATCTTTCTTGAATTATCAGAATAAAATCATTTGGACTGATCACATTGTTGAAGTACCTGGAGTCTGAAGTACAACAGCAGTGACGCCACTGATCTCAAAGTATCACTCTCCTTCAAACCTCCTGCATAGGGTGTCCACAGAAGGAAAGGCGGAAGTTTTAGTCATGCAGACTCCAATTTCACAGAGTTCTCAGGTGCAGCGATGGTAACCAGGGACTCCTGGACTAGTATCAACAACTGGAGGTTAGTGTGACAACATCCACAGGTGACAGCTATCGTTCTGCATGACGAGACAGGATGGTGGCTGACAGAAGAGGTAATTAATAAAGGTTTCATGTTGACAGAAAGAAATACAACTCTCTCTGTATTCGTATTTACCGTCTAATGTTTCCTTGTTGATTCCGACAGATGTCCGGCCCAGATTCGGACCATCAAAGAGGTAAAGTTATGTTAACAGTGAAATGCACTCCACAATCTGGGTCATTAACATTGTACTGCATTATGAAATCAACTAAAACGTGTTCAGTAAATGAACCTTTCCTCATTTTTATTGCATCAAATGTACAGAAAATATCAATGGATTATTATTATTATTGTTGTTGTTGTTGTTACTTTTATCATTTTTTATTTTACATTTATGAAACCAGGTGGTGAAAAATACAACATTTAAATACCGTTGATGGATCAAAAAAAGTTCTGGACAATATACCTACTTGGTCTAACCTGTCTACCTAATACAGTTTCAACCCAATAAATTAAACTCTGAACATCCTTGATTGTTGCATCTGTGTTTGATTTGTGGCTGAAAAATATTAATAATAAGAATAATAATCAACATTTAAAGTATTTATTTTAACTTAAGAACAGGATCAGGTTTTTATGTTTTGCATCTTTGGCAGGAAGTAGAAAACAATCAGCACTAAAACCCACACAGTGGTTACAAACTGTATTCTGTACAGACAAAAATACTTACACTTGTATTTCATGCTGATGTTTGTTCTCTCCGTGGCCATTGTGTGAACGCTTCTCTGTCTTTTTGTGAAGGATCTTGGAGTTGGCGCAGCACAAAACCTCAAAAACAGTCTGGGCTACGACTCCTTGGTGAGACTCTCCAGGCATCACACAAACATTCTTTCCTACATATGTAAAAACAAATGCACTTTGGTGTTACCACAGGGAGGAATCCAACAATGGTCCATGTCCACTCCATGCTGCCGTGTTGTGAAACAACTTCTCCTTCCAGCTGTTATATCATACTTAATGACAAATTCATTTTTATGGATGTAGTTTGAATCGGACTCCACTGGTACAGGAGACTGTGTGGTCACAGTTTCCTTCCTTTGTTGCTATTTCTTTCAAACAGAATGATTTAAAACAGATGATTAAAGACACACGTGAATGGAATGCAGCTCTACGATCACACGGCATGGCTCCGGAGCCACAACTTACTGTAAACGTTTTTATTAGAATGGGTTTTAGTCAGTTTTCATCTCATTTTGAAGCCACGTGATTTGAAATTGCTTCTGTTATTTTACTGGATTGTCACCACAGCTGCTCTCTCATCGTTCTCAGTGATCTCATTTCTCTCTCTCTCACATGTCATCGGTCAGTGATAGGCTGGTCAGGGGAAACCAGGATCCGGTGTGGCCCATTTCTGAAGCTGCGCTCGCTGCCGTTCCGAGTCCACGAATTCAATACCTGGCCCAACACAAAAGAGATTTCTCAGCAAGGGAGAGTCCCAGCAAGAGGTAAAGTAACTTTGACCCATTTGCATCTCTGCACCCACCCACCATTATCATTGATGACTCTTTTCAACTCAGCACAACATAGAGGAGGAATGTCAGTACAGTTGTGCTGCACTGACACATTTGCCTAAACGTTTGCTGAAGCTCAATGGTTATGACTCTGATGTTGTTCTGATGCTTTTTGGCACCGGGACGAGGCAGGAAACTGTAAAGTGATGCTCAGGAACGATGCCAGCAAAATCCCGATCAGGGCCGATCACGCCTGAGAGCCTCAATTAGCCACAAACCTTTCCCTCTTTAACCCTTCAAGGCTTTTATTCTGATTACCTTATGTCTCCACAGCCAGCTGTCATTAAAACCATAGTAATGTACAGTGTAATTCAAGCACCTGCCTGGAGAAAATACTGCTCTCAGTGTAACAGTAACAATAGAACAGCAAGACCTGCAGGTCGTAGTGGAGTCAGTGGATCACGGCCCCTTGAAGTCACAGACTCTGAGCGTCTGATGCAGGTGTTCCTCATGTTATCTGGAACAGTTGGAATTTTTTTTGTAATTTTATTGTATTAATAATATTTTTTCAACCCAGGCTCATAGTACAACTGTCATCGAAACATTTTCAGCAGTTGAAGAGTAAATGAATAAATGAAGAGTCACTGCAGCCACACAGTGTGAAGGATAACATTCTCCAACACTGTATTGTTCTTGTGTCTCCGTGTCTGTTGGACAGAATGCCTTGGTAAATTATTGAATTTCATTCCTGGCTGTGACTGGTGTTCACTTTCAGGCAGGGAGGATGGTGATCATGTGCTGCTTCCAGTCAGCAGAGAATCACAGTTTGATTCAGACTGAATGTTCAACATGAAAAACTGTATGTTGTCTGAGAGCGAGTCAGAAATGAGAGTCAAAGATGTGAGGACATCTCTTCTCAGGTCTGAGTCTGAGTCAAGACACCTACAGCTTTTTGTTACTTTTAACCTAATGATTTGTCAAAAGATTCAATATTCACTATATAAACATAAACACTAACTGAACACTTAAGAAAATTGAAAAACAGAAATGTATTTCATGTATACATGTTATTTTTCTCCTGTTATTTTTCTCCTGTTTCCTGTATCTCCATCATCATCAGTTAAAAAATAACAACACACTGTTCCCTACAACTGGAGACATGGTTTTATTGTTTTGTCCTCACAACAAACTATAATGGATGTGATAAAAGCTTGCATTTTCCTGCAGGACTGAAGACAAGGAGGCGAATGTCTTCAGGAAGAGACGACCTCCTTCCGCCAAGACGTTCCAGTATGAAAGCATCGTCCGTTTGTCAACACCCAGAGGCAGGAGGTGCAGTTTACAGGAAGTGGGGTAAAAAAACAACCTATGAGGGTTAAACTGGGCTGAACTAAAGTCACACGTCTGTGTGGATGTGTGTGTAGCTCTGTTAAGGCTTTTTTCAATTTGTTGACGTCCTGGGTTTTAGTCCACCTACAGTAGCTCCCATCCTTCAGACCATACTGGGAAGGGTTGTGTCACAAAAGGGCAACTGGTGAAAAAAGAACAGTGCCAAATTTGGCTAAGGGAAAATCCTAAAATGTATTTTCTTTCCTTCTATTTGATCTTAAGCAAAAGAAGCCAAAACAAAGGAGTCGATTGTTTGTTTACAGATTAAAGCCAAGTCATGGGTTCAAGAAAGTGAAATTATCAGCAGTAAAATCCACATCTGAACATTGTAACTGTCCAATGTGTCAAAAGCATTATTTTTGTAAAAACAAAAAAAAAAAAATCTAGCTCCAAAGGGTGTATTTTTCAAAAGCGTCTGTAAAATTCCATGCTTTCAGAGAAAGCCAAATATCAACGGCAGCATATTTGGTATCTGCTGTGTTTTATGTGATTTATAAAAAGACTTCTGCGGTTGTCTGGGAGAATCCCAGGAGTCTAGAACCTTAGACAATAAACTCTATTGTCTGTGCACCTCGCTCTCCCACAGACTGACACTGAAATAACACACATTCAACGCCTTGGAGTCCAACAATAAATCTTATCATTTTCATGTCACGGGCTTGGACATTTTCAAACAGAATCATGTAGTTTTGAAGGTTTTGAGTCTGTGTTTTTCTATTCAAATGAGTGATCTTACATTGTAGTATCATACTCAAAATCCAGACATAATAATCAAACCAAATTGTGTGCTCATCCCTAACCCAGAGTTTATAGAGTGTTGTATTTGTGTGTTTCTCCTCCAGTCCTCCTCACACACCCCAGTGTGAGATTCTCTGTCCGATCTGGCACATCAACCCCAGAGTGAGGACTGCAGTGATCGGCCCTCGTCTGCTGCAGCTCTCA